ATAGATTATCTAGCTACGATTAGGCGTGTAGATGGCTTCGCAGCAGCGTGGGTGGACTATAAGTACCACTACCCTCCAGCCTCGTTTCTAAGCAGCTTTGAGCGGATTATGGCATGCTCCTGCAGCTGTGGACACATTCACCCCACACATGGCAAGAAACATGACCCTGGAGGTGAGTGTACAGTTTGTCATTAGGACAGCGCATTATGTTGTAAAACACCATCAATTATCCAGGTGTGGGGCTGCGCGACTGTGGTTTCAGATTCGACTCAATGCTTAATTTCTATTATGAGGTCGGCCTACAAGCGTCCGTGTCCAAAAAGGGTAAATGCTCACCAAGAATGGACTTGATCCATGGCAGCATTCTGGGAACTGAGACATATCTGTCCTCTGCTTCTTCTGAAAAGAATCAAGTTCAACAAGAAAAGAACATGAGAGCAGGGGAAACAGTTTCGTTTCAGGCTCAAACTGAATACAGCTCAAAAATCCAGAAAGGACTCTGTGCATTGTGGTATCGCGGAGCCTTAGGTGGAAGTTTAACAGAAGGCTGAAATCACAGGAACCCGCCTCATGCGCTACTGTCATTTTTTCGTCGTGTCAGGTTCCACATTCATTCGGAAATGATGCCGACAGCTAGTATTTCACATTCTTGATGAACACTCGAGAAACTTTATTTTGCGCGAAGCCTGTCTAGCGTTTCCTGTCAACTGCGTGCTTGCTGGGGCAAATCTTCCTTACTGCTTGTAGACACAGACGACTTTTACTAGGTTCCCTTTGAAGTAGCTGTTACATCCATACCTGGTTTTAGCAGGAAGTTTGCGTACCTGCAAAAACGAAAAGACCGAATTTAAATAACGCTGTGGCGACATTTACGAAAGCCCGCTGTGAAAAATCTCGTTGTGACTAACATTCTCGGTTTGTGATTCGTTTTGCAAACCTTCCTGTAGGGTTTCCCTGATCATCACTGGGACTGATCCACCTCTCGAAAATGTCCTTAACAAGTAGCGTGGCTCTGTGGAATATTCTTTGTATGAGCAGACACTTACTTCTGCGCCGTGAATTTATGAGGTGCATTAGAGTCTACAACACCTCTTGCTTCGTTACAGGCGTCACTGGAAAGTCCCGAGTCCCAAACCTGAAAACGCAACGGAATGATATTTGGTGATTCCATTCTGAATGGCAGCGTTTGTCAGTACATGAGGAAGCGTCACGCATTTAGCTTTCATTATACATCTCATCATCGGAAACGTCTAAAGTCTAAGCGAAAATGTTTCTACAGTGTCATATGTCTCCGCTGAAACTGGAGACGTTGGAGAGAAAATTATGAGGTTTAGGTGGAGTCTAATCTCCCAATCGCTCATTTCTCATTCCGATCGACACTATCAAATTGTTTCTACACAAAAACACTCAGAAAAGACTTTGCTGAAACTCTGCTCCTAGAAGCAATTCGGTGCCTCGATCGCGAATATGACACCCGGTTCAGCGCTGGTTCTATATGGCCTAGTGCCCAGATCCTCCAAAACCTGAAAACTTGTCTACTAGGCTTCTTTGTGTCCCGTTCACAAATGTAATATTCATTTTTCGTCCCCTTCTATAAGTTCTCATCAGTTTTGGTTAGAAAGGTAGAGACGTCGAATTGGCGCCGGCATTAGAAACAGCAAGCATACTAGTTGCGGGGGGGGGAATAAACCCTGCAATAAGCCCTGCAGGCGAGGTTAAGGCAGAAATTTCTCTTCCAGATTTTTGGGTAGTATTAGTTCAGCAGTGCCAAAATGCCAAAAGTTAAATGTGTGTCAATAGCGGGGTTGCAATGCGTTCAAGCATGCTAGCTTTTCCTGCACCAACATTGGCATTTTTTGCCTCTGACTCTGACGTTTTCATTTTTTGCCAGCGTCAGAGTCTCGAATTCCGACGCTTCTGCATCTCTCAAAGAGCGACTACTAAACAGACATAATTTCTCAACTCTGATCTTTTTTACAGAACTCTGGACTTCTTCAATGCCATTTTAGACAGTCTTTGGTGAAGCCTTTGACTCTGTAGATGTACAAGCTTCCACTGATTTATTCTTATAAAGGACGAATTCAAGACTTGTGTCACTGGCGTATATACGCTTCTTCGCCGAAATCGAATCTAAAGTGAATAGTCCATGTCGGTACAATCCCATCTGAAATTCAGAACAGGTTATTTTACGGCTTCTCTCCTGTTGCAATCTCAGCATGTTAGTTTCTCCCTTTATTTAATGTGTAATTTAGTCATTAGCGAAGTTTTCGAGTGATGCAATTCATTCACTGGCCTAAAGTTTCTAAGTACCAGTGGCCCGAATTCGGAGGCACGTGGAAAGCGCCATTTGTTTCGAAACACTTCTACAGTACGGGGCAAAGTAAGGCCGGTCAATGAATTGTCCTTTCCTAAAATTTCGAGAAGCACAACATTACAGTTCTATAGAAGTCTAAAACAAAGGAATGAAAAAGGGAGATTACATAATAAGAAAGATCAATGTAACTGGTATTCCTCCTCGCTGGAAAAGCTCCGTGTGTCTTGTCTTTCTTCACTGTTGAGGTTACCTCAGAGGCAGGTGGCACAATAAATCGACAAAGCGTTGAATAAGGCGTTAGGGTTGATTATCCTAGCACGAAAGAATACTGTGCTGCTTAGCAAGCGCTGCATAACGCCCTTTCCAACCAAGGGCACCGCAATAATGCCTAACTAAGGTGCACCATGCCGTCGCAGTCGTCCACCGCAATCGTCCGCCCGCAAATGGCCTTACGGTGATGCTGATACTCTTATCCTTCATTTAGAAATACAACAAGTGCCAAATCGTGCCTTATGCTTTGATGGTAATATTGGAGCGTTGTTAGACAAAATCAAGCGGTAGGTGGTGTTGTCACCCTCTATGAAATACCATTCGGAACACTTCTACAGAAATGCTATCAGCTGAACCATGAATGAGACAGGCTGGAACTTTTCTCACACAGGCTTGGTCCTATGATGAAAATGGCGAGAAGCATAGAACCTGTACTTTTCGTGGAAGTAAAAAGTACGGCAATATTGGACTATTCTTATCGCCAACTTCCGAAATCAGGCCGGTTTTTTCTAGCGGCTTTCTAGAAGTTTTCATTAAATTTGGTGAGGAAAGTTGTGGCTTCAACAAATGGCGCCAGCGTCAAAAATGTATTTCATATTCGTGATCAGGAAATCGTATAACAACTATGGGCACAGTTTCAGCAGAGAAGTTATGTGCTTCTGAGGTAGGAATAGTTCAATGGTATTGAAATCCGAGCAAGCCCTCGTGCACATTCAGGAAGGTACCTCTCAGAATGACATGTCAAGACGCCGACAACGATGGAATTGCGTGTATATCGAAATTACAATGTCACTGGAGACACGTTCTGTGGTTGCAGTTCGTGGACAGTGATCCAAAAATGAATTATAGAATTCCAACTGATTACCAGCCAGGGTACCTCCCCCTCCCCCCCCCTTAGCCTAAATGAGGGTCGCGGCACGTTTTCCATTTTTCACCCAAAAATTTTCCGTCGAGCGGGGCATGCGTAGGGGGAGGGCAGGAAGGCGAAGGGTGGTATATAGTCAATATGGAACGGGAAAGGTTTCTTCAATTATCCCCAACTTCCTGCCACTTTTTCCAGAATTTACCTTAGTATTCTCCTACTTCTCTCCAAAAATTCCATCCAAGGGAGGGGGGCTATGGAACAGGCAAAATTTTTCCCCAACTCTTCATGTTTGTATTTATGGGCATCGGTGCGTTGGCATATCTCAGCCTTGCACAAGTGATACAGCTGAAGAAGCGCCCTTTGTGAGAGGCGCTTCTTCAGCTAATGGCCGCCTTAACGTCTTCGTCGCTGGTTACTGTAGAAACAGGAGGGTGAGACAACCACTAAGATATAACTATAGGCCTAACTATGGTGAAGTTACATTAGTGCAAGAAAGAGATTGCTATACGTAAGATACTTTCCACGGGTCAGGTTAGCAAGGGAGTGCTTACTTAGAGGAAACCTGTTTGTACACGCAACCCCGAAAACGGTCGTTTTCATGCGTAGGCGAACGGGTATGCAACAACGAGAAAGGAGAACAACCAGAAGTCAGAGGCATCAGGCAAACAGACCGTCCATATAAGGTTAGGCATATGTGGCTGACCTGGCCGTCACCTCGAGGTGGAACATGGCGTTGGCAGTGAGGTCTCGCCACCCATGAGTGTCGTACCCCTGCAGTTTTGAGCGAAGAAAGTGACATGTTTCTTTGGCTGCGCACACACTTCCCTCACACACGAAAATGAGCAGAGTCCCGGATGTGCGTAAGCAGTTTTTCTTGTACGCATCTATGTTAGAAAAAACGGCAACAAACATCCTCGATGATAGGTGGGGCAGCACGGCTGTAGTTCAAGACATTCCAGCTGACTGCGCCAAATGTTAAATTTCTGTGATGAACTAGCGTCCCAGTGCAAGTTTTTTTTTCGGACGGTAACTGCTTACCGAGAATGGACCTGATCCATGGCAGCATATTCGGAACTGAGACAAAATTGTCCTCTGGTACAACTGAAAAAAAAACAACTTCAAGATGGAAAGGAAACAGCTGGCTTTTGCATAGTTTTTTTTTCTTGGTTATCTCATTCCATTCACCTTCTATTCATAATCGGCAATCAGTCAGAAATGTGCAAACAGTTGCGAAGGAATTACGGCAAGCGCGCAGCCTTTGCGAAAACGCAGGAGTTCCCATCAGGGCACAGCATTCGATGGGGATTTTGGTCGAGCCTGTACGACCCCCCCCCCTTTTTTGGGGGTTCGGTACGACCCCCCCCTTTTTTGCCGTTCGGTTTTTTTCGCCTTAAATGAAACTATGAAACGCCCACTATGAAATTCTACTTGTATGAAGGTGCCCATACTAAATGGACGACTTGAAGTCATGACATAATAGAACAATACAGAGATGATTGCAAACAAAAAACGGTACAATCGTATTATGAGAAACTCGTATGATGAACTTCTTCGATGGCCGTTTTGAAACACACATGGTAATAATAACGATGTATCGCGATTAAATTCAATGAGCATTCGTTAACCTGAGGTGGACTCCCTCTCTGGGAGCGGCCATCAGCGACCACAGTGTTAACAACGTCTATTCCCAAGATTGAGGACGAGGAAAAGAGAAAGTTAGGCTTGTCTCACTACGTAACAGTTATACAAACCGCCGTAAAAATGCATTACCCCGATTATTGGAGTACGGTAGCAGAAGCGCATGTAATTGCAGATGTGACCGCAGATCGTTCGGCAATTTTAGCCATGGAGCGAGAATTTTCAGCAAAGTAGGGTGTCTTTGAAGGACCATAACTTCCTCAAAAGCGGACCTGTGGGGAAGAGGAGACCGTATTCGTGTAGAGGAAGGATTGCACTTCCTAAATGTACTGAAACGTTTATGAAGGTCGCAAAAATCACAGAGAAATCTGCCCATAGGGATTCCATGGGGAGTGAAGGGTTGAAGTTTAAGTTGAACAGGTTTGAACCAATATTTTTTTTGTAACTCAACATTTCACAAATCTGAGAACGGTTTCGAGTGTTTGAAGATTTTCTCTTTCTAAAAACCTCTTGAACTGTTTCTGAAGCTCTCGGGATTCATGAGATCTCGCTATGGGGATTTCTTGAGGAACACTCCCAGCTGCGCGAAAAACCCGTTTCCTGTGTACCGTTTCAAGTGAGCGTGTTCGAATAGCCAGGAACGCATGTAGAACGTATCCTGTGGTGGAGCAGGAGCAGGATATGGTTCGTTAGAACGACTCTTTGGGAGTTAGCGGGCCGATCACGTTCAACTTTGGATGCGCCGCGCACTGAGGGCCGCGCAGAGGTGATGGGATTGCAACTTGTGCGTAATGTCTGTTCACGCGAGCAAATGTGTCTATAAGGTTCAGGGAGGTCCATGGCGAGCCTGTGCACTTGTTTACAGTGTTTTCCGTTGCGTATGATGGAACATGAAATCAACGCTGCCAGAACATGAATCAACGCTGCCAGATTCGTGCTCCGCCAATCGCTGACTCCGATAAAGGAGACCAACTGCTGGAAAACGTCTGATATGAACGATATGGTAGTCCTGTCGCTTGTCGAGAAAAAAACAGGTTGGCTCAGCGCCAAGCGTGACCGCGGACACGCCATATCATTGGCAGCG